TTCCTTTCAATCGAATATCAATCAAAGGGGTTTGGGCCCGAATCTCAACCCGGTCATAACGTGCTTTTGGAAAATATAGATCCACATTTATTTTGCAACTCTCCACCCAGGAGTGTATTAGCATCCGGTAGGATTGAAACCCATTGAAGTTTTCTCAGGATTGTGAGTATCCGTAAAATGGCGCCTTGATGGAATGGTCCCCATGGAGCTGGGAATATGCATACTTTGGTGCGGGCAAGCGTGATGATCGAATCACATGACCTTGATAGAAGTATATCTGTAGGGCGCTTAAGAGACATCGCCAATAAATCAAGTGCGATTTAAAAGACGAAGAATATTGCTATTAGAGTAATAGAGTCTACTTATATTCAGATGGCACACTGGTTTTCCGACATTGACTCTGGCGCCAATTGCTCTCCAAATTTTATTTTATTAATGATTTGCGGTTATGGTTAAAGGGGAAGTCCACCCTGAAATTAAGTTAGTTTTAATAGGAGTAGAAAAATGAGAGAAACAAGTCAGTGAAAGTTTGAGCAAATTCCGATTAAAAATAAGGAAGTTAGAATTTTTGAAGATGTGATCAATCAAACACAAATTGGCAACTCTATGACGTATCATGCGAGCTCAACTTCCATTTGCTCAGTACTAAAAAAATCTAAAATTTTCATTTTCCCTCAAGAAAACTTTCAACCATACATGCACCCTAAATATAATAATTGCAAATATGTTTCTATACTCCCCCTGCAAGGAACAAATATATATTCCGTCATCAATAACGAAGAAAACATGATTTTATGGAATATTATGCACAAAGCAAATGAAGGAGAGCTCGTATAATAAGTCACAGAGTTGCCAATTTGTATTTGATTGATCACAACTTCAATAATTCATAACTTTCTTATTTTCATTCAGAATTTGCTCAAACTTTCACTCACCTGATTTTCTTATTATTCTGCCTCTATCGAAACAAACTTATTTTTGGGGTGGACTTTCCCTTTAAGGTTGGGATATTTTGGTCCAGAGTTGTAGTTAGGAATTCGGATAGTGAAGATTAATAATGCTCATCACATGAGCCTGTGTCGTAAAACCTACAAAAGGATCAATATGAAGCCAGTCTTTGCCAGTGCGACCTTTGATGTACCGGCGGATTTTTATGGGGGGGGGGGGGGGGTCACAACCGAACCATGCTCCACGTTCGAAACCTAAAGGCCCGAATTCATAAAGGAGGTTTGTCGACAAACCTAGGTTTTCGTGCGTCATATGACGCGTTTCGACGCGTTTTAACAAACCAGGTTTGAGATCATATCTTTAATCTTAAAATGTGCTCCATGAGGTGATGATTTTCTTATTTGCCTGTCAGAGACCCAAAAAAAAATTGTTGAAAAAATAGGGGAAGGGTCTTTATTTGTTGGAGGGGGGGGGGTGGGGCTTGTCAACAATTTCAAGAATATTGTGCCCTCTCTATTAGAAAATCATGGATCCACCCCTGTTTTGTGAACAAATAGTAAGATTCTAGGACGGCAGATCCTGGCATTGCTCAGGAAATGCAAACTTTGAGAAGGGATGAATTTTCACAGTTATGTCGGGAAGATCAGGATAGGAAGAATATTAATATGAAAGTACGACTAAACATCAAATCATTCGTCACAATTAAATGACAAGCAAAAGTTTAACGATTGCATGATTGAAAGTTATTGAATGTGTGCCCCAAAGGGTTAATAAAATATAGGCCCAAACTGCAATTATTGACACAGGTATAACTATGTGCCTCTTACTTGTAAGGAAGATGTCGCATTTTCCCTGGTGTCGCTACATAATTCACTGAAATAGCCAAGCTGGATCAAGACAAAGACCAGAGAGGGCCAGCCAAAGATAATGCATCCGTGTATCAGATTCTCAAAACATGCAAATAGGAGAGCAAGGAGCCGCTCGATAATTAGGACAGTCTTCATCGTCACGTTGATTGAATTCGAGCCCGTTTCAGATAATAGACATCACTATCGTCATATGAGCAGACAAAGGTATTTGGAGACCTACAAATGAAAACGAAAATAGCAAGAAAACAAACACACAAAAACAAAGAAACAAACGCAAATCAACGCTCAACACGTTTGGACTCTCACGCACATGAAATCACTGAGCTATATACATGTGTTTATATATATAATTTTGTATATAAATATATGAACTGATTTATGGTTTACTTTGACCAAGGAACGAAATATGATTTACAGATTTTTGAAGGCAAGGAATATCACATTTTAGTCACATGACTTGTAATTATATCGGGTAATAAATTGATAGCATGTGGATCGAGATAAGAGAATAAGCGAAACCTACTCTATGAGTAAAATGCTCTTTCAGTTCAAGATTATGTTTCTAAAATGAATCCTCTCATTAGGGATTAAACTTGTGGGAAACTTCCTTTGCCAATTCAGTGAATTGTTAATACTTGACAGAGAGGGCCCCAAGGCAAACATAATGCACATATTCTGCCTTCATTATAGAGGGTTCCCTAATGATTAGTAATCTAACATGATACCATTATCTACCCCCTTTTTTGGGGGGGGATGTTTAAGAAGAAAAAATAAACCTACATTTATATACGCAAATTATGTGAATGTATTATACGTACATTTGAATTCAAAATAATTTGTTATAGTATTTAGCAATAATGGTCATAAACTGACTGACTTTTCTATAGTAGGGACTTTTAGATTTGCACGACGGAGAACGTGGACTGACCTTTTAAGGCGATGTGACGTCACTGCCAGTGCCTTAAAAGGACAGTCCACGTTCTCCGTCGTGCAAATCTAAAAGTCCCTAATAAACAACAACGGCGACGTCATGATGGAGGACAAAACCAAAGCAAACTCGTGCACTAGACCATGAAAACAATGACTTTTCATAGTCTGATGCACAGGTTGTTACAATGCACACAAAATCGGATCATACACCAAACCCAAGCATGACATAGAATTGAATTTTTTTTTTCTATCCCATACTTTTCAATTGAATTGATTTTTGTTCATGACGATTCCAGATGAGAATTTTGGAATTCTGGTTTTGACTATCCAAGGTTCACTTATTTGGATCAGTCTTACATGATACGGATATTCAATAGTGTGGGTTGGTGTATGCATGGACCTACCCCATGGTGTATGTGTGCAGGCTTGTGTAGTCATGTCAAATTCATCTCATTTTTTAAAATTATCCCCTTCTAATTTTTTTTTGTAATTTCATCACGGTTTTAACAATAATCTCATAATTCCTTTGTATATTGCCATGATTACTGACGTGCATCATTGGAATAATAAAACTTATTGAACGAGGAAAGGAACAAATATGTTAACATTGATTTCATGAACAAATATGTACTGGTAATGTCAAAGATTTTTTTTTGAGATTCTATTGAAGTAAAAATTACATCACTGACACAGATAATACCAAAGTTATAGTATTAACAACCTTTCTATCTCCGACACGACATTAACATACACTTTGCACTTAATACCCACAAGAGAAATGGGGAACCGGGAGATGACGAAAGCATTTGTGTTAGTGATTATCTATGCCCTCACGGTGACCATATATCGTAGGAATACTTCCCAGGGAGTGGAGATGGTGCACATTATGCGTGAATGAATCCAATGACAGGGGTAGAAATATATCTGTAAAGCGCTTAGACACGGTGTTCCATTTTAAGCGCTATATACATATCCAGATTATTATTACCAAAGGAAATGAAAGGGCAATGATTTCATAGAAAAGAAAGACTTAAGTATATTATGCCTGAATGTGCTTGCGTTGAGCAATTAAAGTGAGTTCTTGTGCAAGGGGGATTTATTATGAATATCATTTTAGCAGAAATGAGAAATGTAAACATAACAAAATAAGACTTACCAGAATTGTAATGTAAGTATTTTGAAGACTCTGTGATCTTCGGTTGCAAAGGTGCGATGACAGCGGTGACTTCCAATACCGCAAAAGTTTTGTTAGCATGTGTTTGTGCGAGTCGGAACATTGCCCACGACCCCCTGTTACCAGCAACACCCATATAGTCTAGACTCTTAGCGAGTAGTTTCATTGGAATTAATCGTAAAATTCCCCTCGCTAGCGTGTAAAAGAAAAATACGCCGCCAGGGAGAGGAGACTGCTATAACTAGCGTTCGCCATCATTATCATGGACCTATCATATCAAGGAGCAGAGCCGTCGGCACCCCCTCTCGTTGCGTATCACGATGTTCCTCTCCCTCCCCCTCTGTGGCCCGAATTCACAAAGGATGTTTGTCGACAAATCTTGGTTTTCGTGCGTCATATGACGCGTTTCGACGCGTTTTTACAAACCAGGATTGTAAAAAAAAACGCGTCATATGACGTACACAGAGCTAGGTTTGTCGACAAACCTTGGTTTGTAAAGAACAAAAGGAGGTTTGGCGAAACAAAAGGAGGTTTGAGCTCAAACCTTGCTTTGTGAATTCGGGCCATTATGTCTGTATGCGGGTCTCTCTCTCTCTCTCTCTGTCTCCACGTACAGTCCACATAGGCCAAGCTCGAACGTTTGCATTGTGTACTATTTTCATTCATTGAATGTAATCATCCGATGAAAAGATTTCATGAATTTGCTTTGATAAACAAAAATGCCTCGGCAAAATTTGATGATATAATTCAGGGTAGTCCAAAAGATACATGCAGACAGTGAATAAATACACATTAAAGCCCATATCCAATATTGAAAAACATCTTAAGACGCAGATATTTATTCTTTGACTCAAAGCGTACTTGGGAAAAGCCTAATTAAAGCCCCAAATATTGTACATTTTTAGTTTTTGTTCTTCGACACAATACGTTCATTTAAATTGCTTTTTTAATTTAATACCTTACGCCAAAAAAAATAATTAAAAATAAAAAAAACCGACTCGAAAGTCAAAATTACTTTTTTTCATTCAATCACAATGAATATATATTTTTTAAAGCAAATGTTATACAAAATAAAAAGCTAACAAAAGCAGTAAGATTGTTCAAATAAAATAAAGAAATGACAATTGGCTACGGAAATCAAATGTTCTCCTTAGATTTTTTAAAAGATAGGAAAAACAAATGTCAGAAACAGGTGTTTAACACCGTACCCATAAAGAGAAAGAGAGAGAGAGAGAGAAGAATAAAAGGAAGAATAATACGAAAACAACAAGAAAAGGAAGAAGAATAACCACACCTTGTAGTAATGTATTAGCCGTGAAATACTCTTCGTGTAATTTCAAGAGTACATCGTTGTAGGAAACTCATGCTTATATATGGTCGAAAAGATTCAGCTTGAAAGTGTTGAACATGTTTGTATTACTAATATATATATTGCTTATTATGGATGACACCATTGAGAGCTACATGGTGTACAGCTTCATGTGTCATTTTGTATCGAAACAGAATACTAAGCACTATCTGGCACTATTATGGTGACTTGTTCCTATTACAATTGCGTATCCAAGTCGGATTTATAGGACATGACTCGGCATTAGCACGAAGGAAAAGCAAAGTGCTAAAGAAACTGTTATCAATTTAAACAGTTTCTATTTGTAACTACAACTATGTGATTAGTTATTCTACGAATTGTTTGGCTCACGTATTGTCAATACATGTATTTCCTTATTATCAAACCAGAATTGCTTAATGCCAATAGTAAGTACATGTTACACTAAGTTGACCGAAGGCCAACGTCATTTCTTATATGAGAACAAAACAAAAAAATTATTAGTTGAATCCGACCTATAAAAAAAACCAAAACAACAACATTGATTTGGAATATGGTAAATTAAATCTATAGGTCTCTCCTGTATACATAAAATCTTCCTTTACTCATCGTCAGATTTACGAATATTGTTGATCTGTACGTCTGGTGTCCATCCATTCGGCATCTCATTCCAGTCCGAATCTGGTTTTGAGTTGCCTGAATTTTTCGTAGGCATATTCATACAATTCCACATCTTCTTTCATGATTTCCCGAGCTTTATCAACCAGCCGCGGCGACAGTCTTTTCTTGTCCCTCGTCCGGAAGAGTTCATTCCAGTTAGCTATGTGCATGCGAGCAAGAGAAAAAGCAATAGAAAATTATTAGAACATTTAGTGGATGCCTCGATGGCATGGTGTATAAAACCCCGGCATCCACTCTTGATTTGGCTATCGGTTACACAGTTAATGAGAATATGTATGTTTTCCGTTTGTTATATCCTTTACCAATTAAGACATTGCCCTAAAAATCATAACGATATGGAAATGACGATTTGAGTGAATGTAACTGTTATTTTGCAAAATCTGAAAACAAACTTACTGCCATCGTCATTTAATTCCTTGTAAGCCTTTAACAGTCCTCCTAACAAATCTGGCACAAGTCGCTCAATAATTTGAAGGGAAGTCTCGAATTCCTCAGTTATCCCTATAAAAGTGTAGTGCCGGTCGATGTTTTCCTTGGCTTTCTCAAGTGACCAAGCGTGATCCGTCCTACAAAGTAATGCAATGAAATAAAACGTGGGGATCTACCGTAAGTGAATTAATACGGTGGACAAAGATATATCTCCTTAGGTGAACAATCGATGAGGAAAGGGTAATCGGTAGAGTAGGTATGCAGGTGCATTCAGAATTAATGGTTACAAAAGGAAAAGTTTGATCCATAAAGATCAAGGGTTGGGACAAAGAGAGTAGGGGGTTATACAGCTATATTGAGTTGACTATATCAGTATCATCATGATAGTATACGATCATCTAAATGGTTTTGAGGCCATAAACAAATAAAAGCAAGAATTGATTCATATCAGCTATTCGAAGAATATATCTTCATGATTATAACAGGTATTAGACGAATAGAATTAATTACCGTGTGTCAAATTTTGTTGTTTTGCTAGTCAGCCCGATAAAGATATTAATAATGATGATATTTGTTTTCGTGTGATACAAGAACATATTGCTCTCGCTATGTCAATTTTGTCATAGCGAAAACATTGTCATAGTGAGAGCAAAACATTCTTGTATCACACTCAAAGCCGTCCGATATTATTTAAGTACTCACTGGCATCTTGATTCATAACCACAGAAAAGTATGTGCCAATTCCACCAGGGGCCGCACCAGACCAGGCCTTTGTTAACGCACTGTTCTAGAGTCTGCAGATCAATAGATTTTATATGTTCATTTATTTTCTACCAAATACGATCCGAACGTAATGTACTGTGTTATAATGCAAGACTGTATAAACTGTTTATTGTATAACGTATCAGTTTCTACAAAAAGTAACATCAAGGCTTACATCAAGGCTTACATCAAGGTAGTCCAGAATTTAGCCTATTTAATTTCGATCTCCACCACAACAACGCTACCACCCCTACTTACTTTCTACTAGCCGAAGATGGCGTGATCATTAAATTAGGACGCCCGACGAAAAACTGGGCTGGTGAGCATAATTATGAGTTTGTTGATAACGCATATCATTCTTTGAAATACTTACCGGAATTTTATAATACGGGTTCTTGTATAGTGTGTGTGTGTCACTTTTGACACTCATGGCGCTCATGCATTGTTACACCGGAATCACGGCTGTCATTACATCATTTTAAAGAATACAGTCATGCCAGGTGACAGAAGAAGATGTGGATGATTCCAAAGAATGATATGTGTGTAGAGATGAATATTTTGATATTGATATTATTTATTTCTTTAAAGGCACACTGTCCTACTTGTAGCTACTTGCTCCCTCTATATAGAAAACTTCCTCAATCGGTGCCTGTTAGTCCCCCATGATCCTCTTTTTCTTATGTTAAATGAGAGCTGAGTCAATGAGATGGTGGTCTAATCCCTTCTAGCTGAAGTAGTAATGCCTGCCTTTACAGCCTATCTGCACTAGTTTGGTCAGGAGTGATTAGACCTTTCTGCATGGTCACCGACAGGTGGTTATCTCATCAAATCAGCTCTGAAGTAACATACGAAAAAGGCGACCATGGGGGACCAACGGGTACCGCTTAGACATTGTTTGCTATATAGAGGACGCAAGTAGCTACAAGTAGTGCAGTGGGGCTTTAACTCTACCCATTCCCGTCCGCCGCGTCTTATTAGGGACTTTTAGATTTGCGTGGACTGATACGTGTGACGTCCATTCAAGGCAGTGCATTAAAATGACGTCGGTCGTAGCAATCCCCATTGTCTTCGTGCGAATCTAAAAGTCCCTGTTTATCATGCAACGGCGAGGACACATTCTAATAGTAATTGGAATCTTACCAGGTTGTCGTTATGGTGAATCGAAGGATCTTGCGCATAATCGCCGAATCTTTCATAGTAGAAATTCGATTCCATTCGAGCGATAGGCTCTCGCATAAAATTGATGTAGATCGGTGGATTTTCCCTTAATTAAATGTGTACAAAAAAATAAAGATAAAATGAAATTAGTGCCCTCCTAAAATCGATGAAGCAAGTGAAATAAATTCCTTCTCTCTCTGATACATGTAAAAGAAAATGATCCGAAAATTAATCGGCAGTCGAAATCGAAACGGCTACTGACGGCTTTTCAACCAAGGGGAAATTATTTAGTAAATGAAATGCAAGTCAACTGACACTGTAAATCCAAATCACCACTGCAGAATGTATACACAAAATACTTTAGTGGGCCCAAACATGAATACACATAAGTCTAGCTTTAATATTAGGACTACGTTTTCGATCAAATCGAGGATTTTAGTATTGAATACTTTCACTGCCTTATTATTATAGCTGGGACCAGACCAAACACCAAGGATGGTCGCAATGTTTTTAATTTTGTCAATTCCGCGATTCTTAACGTGGTCACAGAGAGACCAAATACTTTTTACCTTCCCATACATACTTTTTATAGACATAAAGAGAAATGAATTGTAAGCATCATAAGTTTTAAAGCGATACTGAACAGATGAACTTTCTGTCCTAGCGTACTGTTTATTGCACAGCGCCATACCATGGTCAACTTCCCAGGAGTGCATAACCCAATACTGCTACAGCTGACTAATATGGTGCTAGAGGCAGGAGGAGATTTCAGAAGTGCTTCCAGTGCAGTATGACTGAATATGAAGTACAAAATACAGATCTTACCAGATATCAGTATACGGGTAAAAGCTTGTGTGTCCATGTACAAAAGCCGGTGGTTTCAACTGCTGAACTTCTTCGATATTTTTCTGAAAAAAAGAAGGTCGTTTTACAATTTTACTGAAATTTGTTTCAGTCTCTGAAACATACGTATGTTTGAAATAATGGCATTTTTGTCCATTATGACGGTTGATACTTGATCATATTAAATAATCAAACTGATTGTAAAATTTGTGTAAGGCTTGAAGTCGGAAAAAAGCACGACCATCTAAAAAATGTCAGGGTACCATTCAACTAAACATCGACACCGTTGATGTCTCAGCATGTTCTCTGATACCCTAAGAAAGGAACATCCTAATGATAAATATAATCTGATGAATTTCGTAATGAATTCGTAAAAAAATTCGAAATTTAATCTGCACTGGGTCGCGATTTGAATATCCCTTCTACAGATAAGACCATTCCTATTCTTTCATGTCAATAATTTACTTATTAAAGCACAATGCTCACAATGAATATTAGCTGGCCGGAGGAGCTAGTGTTGCCATCCCCCAATCCTCCTTACCCCTCTCGAATTCTTAGCTACCAATATTCGGCCAACTGTACATGTATATTTTTTTTCGGCTAGCCGTAGAAATTGTACAATCTTCACAAAACATTACTTTCCAATATCTCGGATAATAAAATCTTATACTGAAATGCAACATATGGGTAAAAGTATCACCTTTTCGTATTCAATTCGTACAAGATGATCAGTCACGGATGTCCAGTTATAATCAAAAGCATTTAGGGCAGCTCGGTAAAGCAATCGACTACCAGTACGGGGCACATCATTCATTATGATTACGTGTTTCTGAGGAACAAAAACAAACAAAAAAACACGAAATGAAAAACTTCATTGATAATAACGTGTTTCTAAGGAACAAAAAGGAGGAAGTAAAATAAAAGAAAATGAAGAAGAAAAAAAAATCATGGATATCAATTTTATTATAACAATCGACTATTATAGCATTAGTATTATGTGTTGCTGGGATAAAAGTCTTTGATATTATCATATTTATATCTGGTTTTCACCAGAAAAAAATAGGGGGAAAAATAGGGAAAAAAGCAGTAAGATGTAGTCTATAATACATGTATAAAAGTTAAATGCATAGAGGACAAACACAAATTCAAAAAACTTTATCAACACCTTAGAAATAGGTATTGTCTAAATATATGTATAGTTAAACTGTTCCGATGGTTGATCAGAGAAAGAGAGACAGACAGAGAAGAGAGAGAGAGACAGACAGACAGACAGAGAAGAGAGGGGGTGGGGAGGGGAGGGGCTGTAGGACACTAGACACACATACACTGGGCAAATCTAACTCCGACATTCCTAAGTACACAAGAGTGCGCATATCAAATTATGTACGTGTGTCGAACCATCCTCAGGAATTATTTTCGAGCAAAAAGATTTAATTGCATTTTTTGCAGTTGCCCCCACCCCTGACAGAGAACCCTGGATCCGCCACTGTGTTCACAGTCTCCATCTAAAGTTTACCATTCCTTTAACAGTCTGGCCGAATCTTGGACCCGTCCAGCTGCTTGTCCTGGCTTGAGTCGTACGCGTGTTCACGATGGGTTTGGTCGGAATGTCATCCATTATTGATTTCATCATATCAGGACTTGTTTCCCCATCTGTTATGAAAAATGATATTATAGATATAATAACGTTGATCTCATGAAATTATAGCCTAAGTAAGACATTCAAGAAATAAACCTAATTGAGATATTATAAATCAGGTTATGAGGTTATACGAGCTATACGTGTAATGCCTTAAATCAATTTTCAGTCTTAAAGGTAGTGTAACATGAGGTGTTAAAGCGTCCAACTGGTTGACGATGTGGTTATCGATGGTCTCGTTGATGATGGTGATTAGACAATCAATGAATGTGATGATGATGCAGATAATGTCAACGATGTGGTGATGACGATGACGGTAATCAGCGAGTCAGCACAGCACAACGGATAACAGCGATCGAAGAAACATGCAGTGGTCGATGAAAGATAATGAGTCGATGATGGTGAGGTGATGACGATGACGATGATCAGCGTGTCAACACAACAGGTGATGGCGAGGTGATGACTATGACGATAATCAGTGTGTCAACACAACACAACGGATGATGGCGAGGTGATGACGATGACGATAACCAGCGTGTCAACAGAACACAACGGATAATAGCGAGATGATGACGATGACGGCAATCAACGTGTCAACACAACGAATGGTGTGGTTGGAAAAGACAGATGCTAAAATATGCTGGTAAGGGCGATAAACAAGTCTCTCCACAAAGTAATATAAAGAGAGTCGAAATTTAATCCCACAAAACGTTTGGTCAGCAGGTACACCGGATGAGGTCCGGGAAAGAAAAAGCCCTCGTCGGACGAACATTCGACATGCCAGTAACGACCTGTGTGTACAGATACAAATAATCCCTCTGATTTCCACATGAAAAATCAAGGCAAATCCCCAATCGCCACTGCAGCGTGATTGGCTGAAACACGCGCACAAAATTAATATACACGTATACGTGCTGTGCATCACAATGATAAATCTACATAACAATAGAAGATATTAACGAGCCAGACTAACCAGTTTGGACATGTCTGCAATGCCAGACAAGCGGAGTGTAGAAATACCACGTAAGGGAAATTTATTCTCCCTAGCCGCCATTTTGAAAATGGGATGACAATACTTACTAAACATATACAAATCAATGCAAAAACTCGTAAAATGTTAATAGACATGCACAACTTAAAAATCATGACATTTGGTCACTACGTGGGAAAAACTATCGGATAGATTAAATCATGAAATTTCGGTTTGAATTCATTTGGGACCTTGTAATATTAAATAACTGTTTACCTCTCCTGTGTCTGTCCTCAAGCACCTCATCGGCTGCGAAGAACCCGAAATCCATGGCGATGAAATAGTTGACGAATGCCCCGAGAAGGAATGCGATGGCAAAGTATGGAGATAGACATCTCGCCATTTTATTCTTCTGCAGATAATTTAAGGCTACGCCGACAAATTTATCCAACGATCTTACAAGCCAGTTTCGTCGCCGTCAACGTTTTGGTCCTTCTCTTTTGAAGATATCATAGGCGGTGTGTTAGATGCTTGATAAATCAGGTTTGGATCTAAGAGTTATTAATTAACCTTCTATGATGTTTCAAAATACACACAGGAGGAAGTCAACATGGTCATAGTATAAAAATTACAACATTGAAGGCCCTCCATGGATGATCACTGTATGCTCACTAATGCCGTTCGCAAGAATCCGCTTAAACTGCATTCAAATAAACCGGCTTACTAATTTATGCTTACTTTCTTACCAAACGTTTCTCTTGATAAATAAAGGGCCAGCCAGAGGCATTATATAAAACAGGTGACTGAAATAGTTTGTATCGAGAGGCTTCACAATAGCATATGCATAAATTTGGTTACATTCCAAAAATGCCCTATTGCAATACATTGGGAAAGAGGTATATTGTGTTACCTACATTCTGTGTATTGTCATTAGGAAAAAGAAATTCTTGTAATGAAAAGGCACTATGAACATGACTGACAAAGAAAGTGGACAAAATATACAGTTCCTCAGGTAGACAAAGGAACATCCCTTCACTGCTATTATGTAAAAATGTGTCATATGCATATTCACCCGTTCTACACAATTTTACAATATAGCAGTGAAGGGATGTTCCTTTGTCTACCTGAGGAACTGTATATTTTGTCCGCTTTCTTTGTCAGTCATATTCATAGTGAGGGTCACTGTACCATTTGGCATAGACCAGTTGTTGTTGATGTTGTTGGGTTTATCGGCGCTATCCACCGAATCCGATGATTTCCGCCAGGCTGTGTGTGAGGGCGTCTTGCTCTTACTTGCCCGGTGTGTGAGATAAAGATTTACCTTGGCCTTTGTTATTGGTGAAGTAAAAGGTTATGGAGGTCTTCCATTTAATAATAGTATGCGCATTTTATAATCGTCTGCCAGAATCTGACGGGTTCTTTATAGGCGCTGCACTTGATTCAAGCCGCCGAAGATGGCGTTATCAACGAACTCATGTAGTGAGTACATTTTTTGTTGGGTTCTCGAAAATTTAAAAATTTGCCGCCCCCCCCCCCTTGATCACCAGGGGGGCCTACCCTCCCCCCTCCCCAAAGGTAAAAAATCACGTGTTTTTACATGATTTTTTTCTCAAGGGGGGGGGGACCCCCCCCCCCCCCCCCCCCCCCCCCCCCCCCCCCCCCCCCCCTCCCCCTGGATCCGCCACTGTGTCAGCTATAGTTTTCTCCCTCTCTATCTCTATCTCTGTTTTTTTTTTCTCTCTCTCTCTCTCCTCTTCTTTCTCTCTCGCTCTCTCGGAATGTTTGGTGCCGTATCATTAGAGTTTGCCGTTCATGCTGTCCCACACCTCAGTCACACCGTTAAACCGACTCATCACCGACTCCAAACCAACAGAGTCTGGGCCCTTTGGGGGTGATGTAAATCTTCGTTTTGGTCTAGTATCGGTCTTGTGTCGGTCTCAATGACGTGACTGTGGTATAAGCCCCGATCAATCTTTGCATGAATATCCTAGTTCAATCAAACAAGGAATAAGTTTACAATAAACTGTGTCAATTTGGAATAAGTTTTATTTATTCTATACTTCTGCTAATGATCATGAAATTAACACTCCCGTGTTTCATAATTTACGGAACATTCTTTCACATTTTTAATTACTATGATTCAGGATTAATTATTTCCATATAATTTAGAGAAAATAATGTAAATGTTTGGTAAAATGTATACTACTTTGCACTGTTATTTTGCATGGAATGTAAATAACAATAACCAATCAATCAATCTTTAATGATGTGAATGTTATTTGAGTATGAACAAGATTTAATAGAAATCTACAAAGTAATATATAGCAGCAATATAATTTATTTGCAAGAGACATGTAATCACATTGATCAAGAATAGAAAATTATCGCAATGTAATCAAATTTAACGCACAAATCTTTGTTAAGTGCAATGTTACCAAACAAATTAATTCAACTGTAGGCTGTTACGAATTCAAGCGTCACAACGCAAATTGCATGCATTACGTGTTGTCAGGTACAGTCCATGATGTGTGTCCTACCTAGCAACAATTAATTCATGCAATTCGCATTCTGACTATTGAATGATAATTATTCATTAGAGGTGAATGAATTGATTTGTGACGAGGCACTTCACAAAAATGTGTGCATTAACTTTGATACCACTTATCGTCGGCTGCGATAGTTGATAATACGTGAATCTTACGACTCTCTTACGAGCAGTTGACGAACCTCACGGCGTTATTTTAAAATGTTGTACGTACCGAATGTTGAATCATGACATTAGTCACCAAAAGAAGAGAACAACAAATTCTGAATAATTGTGAAACCCTCTTTGTTTTTAAACAAACTTTTTTAAAAGATAGAAAAAAGGGGGAAAGACATGTTTAAGACCTTTAGAACGACAAAACTGTTTCGAAAAGACTCATTGATTAGGATGTAAATCACCTTTTTATATAATGTTCCGAATTATTTTGTTTGAATAGACAAGTAAACCACTCTGTAAAGTTATATTCTATGCATAATGCCGTGACAAAGCCAATTTTCCACATTTTGTTTCTTTTTAACCTGAACATTTATATCATCGTGATATTTATGTACTGAGAAGAATAGACGACTATTATACTTCCCAAATATTCATTCGTCACTAAAAATTGTTATTTGGGAATAAAGGCACCATACTTGAACGTAGAATGGGGCCAAATTATATGAAAGTAAATCTATAATTTAAAAATCAACTGCATCATTAAATATATTCAATATAAGTGCTTAAGATAGATGGTATTTAAATGAATAATTATGAATAAGTATACTTCGAAATAGTTTTAAGACACCCAAACTAACTTTAAAACCACATACATGGACATATCTGTGCATTTTATAGCTCAGTATGTGTTTCTTAGCGACAAAGCGAGTTTCTAGCCGGGGGGGGGGGCACTTTGCGAATTAAGAAGGCAATAGGTTAGTAGGACGGTGCGGTATATTTTGCTCCCCTTTCTCTATTCTCTCTCTCTCTCTCTCTCTCCCTCTCTCTCTCTCTCTCCCTCTCTATCCCACCCTTTTCGCTATTCGACTGGGGGACGTGCCCCCCATAACTCCAAACTTCGTGACTGATGTTGATGACAGCTCACTACTTGTTGTCCGTTGAAGTTTTCCGTTTACTGAGAACGTAGAGGGCAGCAGGTAAGGTGAACGTGAATACATCACCAATTATGAATGCAATGGTAACCTGCATGGGATGGTAATATTAGGAATTGTATTAAAAAAATATCAGGTCGTAAATCATTTTCAGTATGTTAATGTGAAATTATTAGAATAAAAAGATAATATATGTGATATAAAATACACTTCTTATATCATGTACATCTGGTTATAACATGACAACTGGCGAAGACCTGGGGCCCTTTTCACAAAGCCTTTTTTCAATGACAAATAACAAACATCAGTGACAACTCCGCTGATAACCAATCAGAAGCAAGGATTTCAGTAGCTTATAACAAAAACTGTCATTTGTCACTGATGACGAGTTTTGTGAAACGCTGTGTGATGAGACATGCATGTGCCCTCTAGTTCCTTCGACACTGGTAACAATTGCAACTTTAAGTCGTTAGCAGTCTCACTGGGTTAAATAATAACCATTTTTGCTTACCCAGAAAGGGTCATCATCGAGATATCTCCGGAGAAGGATGAAGATTGGGTACTGAAGAAACGTGAATAATCCACTGATGGTTCGAAGGGCACCGTATACACTTGTGAAATACTTCATTGGAAATCTGCGACGTCAAAAAAGGATAAAAAGAAAGAGAATTTGATTCACAGTGTTTAATAGGGGCTTGTTCCATGGGTTCATGGGTTCATGGGTTCATGGGTTCGAGCTCCGGCGCGAAACTGCTTGTTCTTTGACAGGTGTTTAACACTTTGCAAGATATTAACCGACATTTGCCACGTTCTCTCCACCCACGTGTTAAATAGGTATACTGGTAAGAGGGGATTACTATGAGCACCGTCGGTAACCTAGCAGGGCCAGGCACCTTGAGCACTTTGCGTGTTGGGTATGTGTACTATAAAAATCATCCTATAATTAAAAGTTGCTATTTTTATTATTATTATGTTTTAAGAAACTTTCTGAACAAAGCCTTTATACGTGACACTCTATGCTCCTACCATCTATTACAGCGTCACGTCATGTCCGATACGACACTTAACGCATATTTTGATGACCGTTTGTTTGTGGCCACTTCCACAGATTCATCCTTTAAAAGGCTATACCATGTCAACATGATACTTCTAGGAAATATGCAATAATCGATCAGATCACGACTTACACCACCGCTACAACCGCCGACCCGACTCCGAAGAGTAGAGACTTCATTACGAGAATGAAGATGAAAGTCAGATACTGGAGTCGAAGGTTTGGAATCAGAAGACAGATGGAGTAGCCAATTGAAGCTACAGTGGTTATGGCCAGAGGAAGACAGCTATCTCGCATCTCGGCGTACGGGCCTCTATCCTTTGGTTTCTCTGCGAAATGTCATAGAAAATTGAGCATTAGTCATGAAGTGGTTTTTATTCGTGTTCTATTTCTGTAACAAGAATTTATGAAAACGTAGGTTGAGTTAACGCCCTTCTGGCTTCCAACACATTAGTATTTAGAAGGTACATCATTAACGGATAAAGTGCAAAGATTTACTAATATTTTAATATAACTAATGCTAAAAGATTTTTTTTTAATTGCGCATTAAACAGAAATACTGAAAATGATCTTCTATATCGATGGTCTCATATACTAATATGCAAGTAAAACACCAATTTCGGACACTCACCCACACACGACACTAAAATTCACGCACACCCACACACCCACACACAACACACACACACGCGCGCACACAAACGCCACAAGCACTCACACACATCAGACGGCCGGCACCCACATCTTTTCGCATTTTCCTCTAATCACACTAATTAACAGCCACACTAATACAACCTCACATCTTTATTTATTTATTAATTTATATATTTTATTGACTGGTTTACCTATCTACCTTTTTATCTATTACTGGTTTATTGCAATGAGCGAATGGCGGCCAATGATTCGCTGAACTGTTCACAATTTACATGATGAGGATACATTCAATATAACTACATGTACAATGCCAGATACGATAATATAAAAATAAGACGGTCAAAATATGAATTAAGACAGCCAAAATAGTTAATGAAGAGTAAGAACACAAATCATGGAAACAAATCATCAGAGTAATGGAATGTATATGAAAAAAGATCATCAGTCTAAGTTGAT